ATGAACCGATTAGATTATCCAAATTTGTCCACCAAGACAGATGATTCTTGATCTGAATAGGGAGAAGAAGCAATATTTTTGTTTCTATGAAGCAACTTCGACCCCCAGATGAGTTAGTTGCTTCTTCCTTAACTTGCTCAAAGGAACCACTATGGTTGTAAAATTCAACAGACCCAGTAGTTTTTCCCAATCATGCCAAGAAGCCTCTTGGCAACTTGGCTTCTACTTGGTTTATCACATCTGTTACTTTTGCTTCTGGTAGACTGACTGACTGCTGATTGGTGTCCCAATGGAGACCTAACCAATCCAATTTCTGACATGGTACGAGATTTGATTTGACCTGGTTTATCTTCAATCCTAGGTTTTGAAATAGTACTAGTGTACGTTGGGTCGCCCTTTGACAGTCTTCGAAAGAGTTTCCCTCTATCAGCCAATCGTCTAGATAAGCAAAAGTTCTTATGCCCTCCTTCGCAAGGATCTCCTTGGGGATGTTCGCCAGTTTTGTAAACACTTATGGTGCAAGTGTCAGGCCGAATGACATCACTGTGAATTGATAACTTACATCCCCCACTGCGAACATAAGAAACTTTCTGTACCTGGGAGCAACAGGAACGTGATAATAGGCATCTCCGAGATCCACTTTTGAGATAAAAGCATTGGGCAGAAGTAGATGCTTCAGATAATCGTAAGTGAGCATCTTGAAACTTCTTTTGGTAATGAACTTGTTCAGGATGGAAAGATGTAAAATCCACCTCAATTTGTCGCTGCCTTTTTGGGGACTGGGAACAGGCAAGACATGAAGCACTTCTCTGACTGCAACAGTTCTATCACACCTCTGTTTAACAGTTGAATTACAAATTCTGTGAGTAAGGGGGTTTGATTATGACCCCCTTTTGGTAACACTAGCGGAGGGCACCTCAACCAAGTCCATGTGAGGCCCCGTTTGATTGTCTTGTACGCCCATATGGAAGAAGTCCACCTGTTTTCCCAACCCCGAGACGACCCAACTGTCTGGCTTCATTGGAAAGGAGTGGTCGCTGAAGTAGTAGAATAAGGTCTCCTTCCACTTCTAAAGGAACAGCCACCCCTACTACATCTTGAATTGTTTCCTCCTCGAAAGTTTCTTCTAAGTTGATACTGAACCTAGCAGCTGATCCTGTTCCCCTGTTAGACCTTCCTCTTTTAAATTTCCAAAAGGTCTGAGGACTCCTTGGAACAGTAATATTAATAGCTTGTTCATCAAACAAAACAGGAGAAAGAGGGGAAGAATGTAGCAATAAATAAGCACTACCACTTAAAGCATTATTAGTGGCTTAATTTTACTTTTATCCTCTTCACCACTGATCAGCACGTTAGCCGCTTGGGCGATCAGTCACGTCTCTGATTACTTTTCCTTTTCATTTATCTTCTTCACAAAAAGATCGGCTCACTAGCCGCCCGGGCGATCGGTCACGTCTCTGATTACTTTTCCTTTTCTTTTATCCTCTTCACCAAATACTGGGCATGAACCGACTCCTGAATGTACCTGAACCCGCTCCAGTGTTGGTCAAGTCTTGTCTTGAAAGAGCTCACACTCGGTGCGGTCACAACACTCTCTGGTAGATTGTTCCAAGAGTTTACAACCCACACTCCGAAAAAGTTTACCCTCACAGTTTTCCGGACTTGCAGCTTTTTCAATCTTGAGCTGTGACCTCTTGAGGGGCGAGCGTCAGCCAGCTCCAAGTAAGGACACTCAACTGTGTAGTGCCCCCTGAGATGCTTATACACCTCAACTAGGTCCCCCCTTGCCCGTCTGTTGTATAAGCTAGGCAAGTTCAGGCGCTCCAATCTCTCAGGGTAGCTGAGGTGCCGAAGCGCAGGCACCAGTCTGGTCGCCCTCCTTTGTACATTTTGAACCAACTGACAGTCCCTAGCATATCTCGGGGACCAGATGGGGTGACAGTACTCCAGATGGGGAAGCACTTCACTCATGAAGATCGCTACGAGGGATGGACCGTCTAGATATCTGGACGACCTTCTTCTAAGACCCGATAATTTATTTGCCTGGTTTACCTTCTTCTCGCAATGGCCCGAGATCTTCAACTCTTTGTCAACATACACATCTCGGTCCTTCTCACATTCAGTCTCAACTAGTGCAGTTCCTTCATCCCGTTGGGACATATGATACGCCTCCTTACCCTTGGTACGCACCATGTGCATCCTCTTACACTTCGTGACATTGAATCTCAGCAGCCATTTCTTCGACCATTCCTGGAGCCCACAGAGGTCCTTCTGCATCTCTTCACAGTCCGCTTGGTTCTTAATTTCCCGAAATAACTTGGCGTCATCGGCAAACATTTGCATGGAGCAGTGTACAACTTCAAGCACGTCATTTATGAAACAAACAAACAACTGCGGGCCCAATACACTGCCCTGTGGCAGCCCACTTGTGACAGGTGCAGATGACGATTTCGTGCCATTAATCACCACACACTCCTTGCGGTCATGTAGAAAGTCTTCCATCCACATAGGACATTTACCCGAATTCCGTACCCTTCCAGTTTGATTTTCAGCCTTTCATGGGGTACACTGTCGAAAGCCTTGGCAAAATCTAGGTAAATATTGTCGATATTACCACCCCGTTCCAGAATATGGGTCCAAATATCCAATACCTTGAGCAATTGTGTTAAGCAGGAGCGCCTCGGCATAAAACCGTGTAGTCAATCCTTTACAAGGTTGTTTTGTAGTAGATGTTCCATCACGGTATCTCTGATAATACTCTCAAGTACTTTACATATTATGCTGGTCAGGCTCAACGGTCTATAGTTGTTCGTGGAGTGACGATCGCCCTTCTTAAAGATAGGACTCACATAAGCCACTTTCCATTCACTGGGGACCTTTCGTTCACCCAGGCATTTACAAAACAGGATCTTAAGGGGCTCAGCAAACTCGTTGCTCAACTCTTTTAGCACTCAAGGATGCACCATGTCAGGGCCGGGACTCTTATGGACCTTTAGCTTTGACAGTTTATTTCTAATACCCTCTTCTGTGAGCACAATGTGGGTCAGTGCTGTAATGGTCATGATAAGAGCTAACCTGAAAACCTTAAGGAATCATATTACGCTCAAACGTCCACAAAACCTTCCGAGTCCCCCAGTGGAAACGTCCCCCGTTTTCTCTGTTTCCCCCGCCTTTGTCTATTGGAACAGACGCTGTATGCTGGGACCTGTTGCCATCCATTCCTTTGTAATCAATTTAATTTTGCTTTCGATAGCTGAGTCAGAGCATTGTTAGTGAAGATAATAGTAGAGAATGAAAATGAGTTCATAGTCTCAATTTCAACGTCAGAGTGTACCGTGAATTAATTCATCGGAATAGGAGTAGCTGGACTCCCTGGCCTAGTTTGAGTGAGGGCGCCGCGGGCATTTTAACCGTTAGTAAGTGCCCGTCCCTTCATCCATACAGGTATGCCATTCCACTCTGTGTTGTAATTCGCTCTTCTTTAAGTGATTTGACCCAATTAATAGTTGCTTGTGCAAGCGTTACAGTAACGTAGTTGATATGCTCTGAGTGAAGTCATATTTACGTCTTTAACGTCCCCTGAAACATGATGTTGTTGTCACCCGTTAGTAAGTGCCCGTCCCTTCATCCATACAGGTCCCTAACGCAGCCTAGGCCGTGTCTGTAGGGTGGATGTTGTATCCACAATGTCTGGGGAGATGTCCGAGGTCAAGTAGGATCTGTTACCTTCGTGAGACCCGGCCGTCAGACACTTCAGACTACCTATAGCCCCCATAGCTGGCTCGTCTAGCCCTAACGCTCGGTCCACGAGGTGACGCCGGATCACCAAGCCACACACCACTACCAGCCCCCATCATTGGTGGATGAGTGTCTAACTCAGTAGGGCTATTTGTGTGGTGGAATTAATCCACTGGGATCTCCAGAGTTCGTCGGATAGTACTCCATGGTGGCTGGACCCCATGGCTGTTGCTTGAGTAACACACCTGACGACTGAGTGTTGTAGTGGCAGTTGCCCTAGTATTTATGGTGCTAAGTGACCATAATAGTTGTGTTCTTGAGTATGTCCACCCAGTAGGGTTGGAAGTGTTATATGTCCACCCAGTAATGGTGTGAGTATGTTGAGCCTGAGGGCCTAGTACTAGAGTTCGTCTGTTAGTACAAACCAATTCTTTCTTCTAATTTCATATTCATGTTTAAATAAACTTTGTATTTGTATAATTGTGTCTATTATTTACCTACAGTATTTACCGTTATTTCTTCCCTATTGCTTGATACTATCATTACACCTACCCACGAGCCTCCTATCGTCACGCTACCAATGGTGATAAATATAAGAGTAAAAGGAATTGTTACTGGCACACAGAGGCCCTCATAAATGGTGGGAGTTCAAGCCCTCATAAATGGTGGCAGTAGCAGCCCTCATAGTGCTGTGTCGAACTGTCTGTCCCCAAACGCAGGAAGGTTAATCGCATCCTCTCTTGTGAACCCCGAGGAAAAGAAGCTGTGCAATGCCTCAGCTTTATCCTGGTCAGAATATGCGTCACTGCCATCTTCAAGCCTCAGGACTAATACTCCTACTCGCGTTTTCAATTTTGACTTTGCATAGCGGTAAAACGCCTTTGGGTTTGACTTGACCTCGCTTGAAGGTTAGTAATTACAATAGGCTATCAATAATTAAGAAATTACTGTATGAGAGATGGAACTCTGTTCACATTCTTTATACCCAACAAGTCAGACCAGTCGATGTTCTATATTTCCTCTTTTATTTCATGGTAATCACTATTGTAATATATTAACTTTGCCCTACTCTTGTTATAGGATTTACTAAGTAGCAGTTAAATCTGAAGGAACATGTTACGTAATAGCTTGTGTTCCATAGGAAATATATGTTTCAAATTGTCCAACATATTCTCCTCATTGCTTGAAAAAATTCCTAACAAACAGTACAGTACCTTATGACTCAGGTAGTATTAAAACTAAAGAAACAGTAACAGCCTTACTCAATTTGTGGTGATCGAATCAACAAACTCTTGTGAGCGTCAGGGTGGATCAAGTCTGGGTTATGCAACATCGTCCAGAGGATTTCTTGCATCCACGTCGTACCGGACTTGGGTGCTGTCATTAACACCACGTCGCTGGACTTAAGCTGAGGACACATGATGAGTTACTGTACTATCCTCAAATATTCAATTATACAATAAAGTATTGTAAAAGTGCAGTACTAAATATATTATGGGAACAGTTAAATTAACATATTAAAACATTCAAATTTATTGTACGGTATGTATGCACTCATAGCTCACTTGTATCTGTCTAAATCTGCGGTTCACAAACTGGTTGGTGCGAGGTTGGTATGGGAGGGGAGATTAGCCATTTGAAAAACATGTACAGTATTGACATTTTTTTCTTTATCAAGAAATTTTCAATAAAATTGTGCAACAATAATTGTTTTTCTTAGTACTGTATATTTCAACCTTCCCCACATGCACGAGATACATAGATAAATAATTACGAGTTAGTTGATCCTGAAAGTATTATGAATACTTGATTAAATTTAATTAAAAAACAGGGGAGGCATGAAGGTTTGGTAAAAAGCAAAAGGGAGGCATAATGTGAAAAAGTTGGAACCCACTGCTCTAAATGATGTCAGTGGAGGTAAGTGTAGGGAGGTGGAGGCAGCACCTGTGAATACCTACCTTCACTACCACCCTAACCCCTCCTATAATCTTTGTGTCATTTAAATCATAACTTCTGTCACCTCACTTTTACAGCCTCCTCTCAACTTTTAATTTTTATCCTCTTCACTACTGACCGGCTCGTTAGCCACTTGGGCGATCGGTCACGTCTCTGATTACTTTTCCTTTTCTTTTATCCTCTTCACCAAAATATCGGCTCGATAGCCGCTTGGGCGATCGGTCACGTCTCTGTTACGCACTGTTGGCAAGTACTGGGCATGCACCGGCTTCTGAATGTACCTGAACCTGCTCCAGTGTTGGTCAAGTCTTCTCTTGTTATTCTGCCACTTGCCGTCATTAACACTTTCTGAAAGGTAACTGTCCTGAGTTCACAACCTACACCTGAAAAGTTTGCCTCAAAGGAAGTTTCTTGGACTTGCAGCTTCAATCTTGAGCTGTGACCTTTGAGGGGAAGTGAGTTGCCGCCAGTCGGCGCAGCGACACTGAATAGTGCCCCTGATGCTTATATTAATCTTTACCCAGCGCTCACGCCCTCCGTCTGTGTTATGTTGTGCAAAGTTCGGTGCTCCAATCTCTCAGGGTAGCTGAGGTGCCTGAAGTGTAGGCACCAGTCTGCGCCTTCCTTGAATATTTCGTAACCAACTGATAAGTCCCAATATATCTCGAGGACTGTGACGGGGTGACAGTAATTCAGATGGGGAAGCAATCACCCACACCGTTATGACGGACCAACATATCTGAACAAATCTAATAGGACCTAATATATTTGTTGATTTACCTTCTTCTGCACAGCCTTGAGAACTTCAGCTCATTTGCCAACATACACTTCCAGGTCCTCACATTCAGTCTCAAATAGTACACTTCTTCATCCGCCGTGGCGCGATGTATGCCTCTACCCTTTGGTACGCACTAGTGTAATCCTTCACACTTCGTGGACATTGAATCTCAGTAAATATTTCTAATATCCCTGGAGACGCTGCAGGTCCTTCTTGCAGCTCTTCGCTGTCCGTTGGTTCTTGATTTCCTGGAAATAATCTTACCACGCCTACCAGCAAACATTTGTGCGGAGGGAATGTACACACACCAGTACGTCATTTATGAAACAAACAAACAACAATCGTTCCACTGGCACCCAGTGGCACCTCGCTTGTGACAGGTGGTACGATGATGATTTCGTGCCATTAATCACCACACCGTTTGTAGTCATGAAAGTCTTCTATCCATACTTGTGACATTTCCCCAATTCCTGTACCTCTGGTTTATTTTCAGCTTTTTTTTTTCGTTGGGTACAATAAGGAGTGCCTGGCAAAATTCCAGGTGTAAATATTGTCAATATTACTTCAATTCCCTGTTCCAGAATATGGGTCCAAAATATCCTAAATACCTGAAGTAAATTGTGCTGGCAGGAGCCCCGGCGGCGTAAAAACTCGTGTTGGCAATCCCTTTGGCAAAGGTTGTTTTGTAGTAGATGTTCCATCGCGGTATCTCATAATACCCTCTAAGTACTTTATTATGCTGGTCAGGCTTAACTGTTCTATAGTTGTTCGGAGTATCGATCGCCCTCTTCTAGCATAGGACCTCATAAGCCATAATGGCCCATCAGACCTTTCGTTCATCCAGGCATTTACAAACAGGATCTTATGGGCCTGGCAAACCCTGCTGCCTAACTTTTAGCACTTAGATGCACCTTATGTTGTGGACTGGACTCTTGCGGACCTTAGTTTTATTGAAGTTTATTTCAATAATTTCTGTGAGGCAAATACTGGCTTCAGTGCTGTGTTGTCTCGTCTGTCCCTCAACGCAGGAAGACCGCATCCTATAGGACACTGCGAAGAAGCTGTTCATCACCTGCCGTCCTATTGTAATCTGCGTAATCTTAACATCTTCAAGCTTCAGTCTGAGCGGCCATACTACGCATTTCGATTCTTTGTATATAGAAAACGCCTTTTGGCCGACTTCTGGATCTGCTATAATCAGCCTCTGAAATCTTTTCAGCCTTATAATATCTTATCTTGTTTAGTTTCTGGCTCTTGGGCATGTTGTCCTCCGTCCTCGTGCTCTTCATCAATCTAACCCACGTCTTAAATTTATGGGTTTCTTTAACTATGGTCGAGACGCCACATGGCTTATGTGTAGGGATCCCCATTCCTGGTATGGCACTGGGTTAGTCTCGGTATGTATTTTTCTGACCAAATGGGTCACTTTTACTAGCGCGATGGTGTCCAGCAAAACCGTGTTCTGTGCGTTTTAATGTGTCAGGGCCATGGATACCCCTCATCTCTTCTCCCTCATCCTGTTGTAATTCTTTCCTGTAATATTTGCACTTTAATATATCTTATCTTGAACTAGGTAATAACAAAGTTAAATCCTGAATGACAACACTATTTGCGACTGATGCCAACTGGGGCAACGTGTTCCAGTTTGTTTCACCATACCCTCCTATTTGTCATGATGAGGCTAGTGGTTGGGTGCCTACCCCTCTGTGTGTGTCGGGTCTCCCTAACTTGTTGAACAGAAAATTATCTCTCAGAGTCTCTGGGCTAAAAGAGTAGCAGGGTTATCTGTCACTTGGGTGAAACCTGTTTCGAGTCGATGTTGCCATATATAAGTCCCCTTATGATAAGGAGGTAGTTTCAAGGATATACATACATTGTCTATTAAAGCTTCTTGTTCTTGATTTAGCTCGGGTGTATTCAGATACACCTGACAATAAGTAAGTCCTTCCCTTTAGCTGACCTTAAAATCACTGACCTTCAAAAACATCCTCTGTACCGCCTGGCTAGCTCCAAGGTCTTGCGTAGCATAGATAACCACACCTCTTGCGCATCTTATAGCGGTTCAGCGAGTCATATCCAGCACATTGAACCCGACTCACAATATAGGCCGTGTACCTTCGTAGTGTTTCCAAACCCGCTCTCTCTTTACCAAGCGAACGCAGCTCGGTATTATGCGTACATAACATTCAGCCGAATTTGTTCCCGGAAAGTAACGTCTCTTGTTCTTAGGTAGTAACCCCCCTGGCATTCTCAGAAGCCGCATAATAATTGCATTTGGCGAGTGTGGTTTGCAGGAGGTCATTGTTTCAGGAAAGCGCTCGCCTCCTCCCGCGGAGCTGCCGCCCTCCGGGCGGGAGATAGAGGTGAGTGCGCTGCTGTCCCCGGCCCTGCGTCGGGCAATGACTTGTTTTAATTGTAGTGGATTTCCACCAAACGCTGTTTGTTCGTATAGCCGACCCCCGCGAATTCCATTGTGCAACGCCTGCCCAGGGTCAAACGTGCGCCGCCCACGGAGCGGGGGTCAATCTACTTAAGCTACCAAGTCTGATGCAAGACCTGGACTCCGCATCCGCTCTTTCACCTGCTACCGTCCAGCCAGCAACATCGTCCTCCTCCTCCGCCTGTTTCGCTGAGGAACTCGTGCTCCCGCTTTATGAGCATGCGGGCGAATTCCATGTTAAGTCCTCTCCTCTGAGCACCCTCAGCCTCAACCAGTTTCTACATCATAAGAATCCACATGCTCTTCCCAGCACCAAGCCATTTCAGGTATCCGGGGTCACAACATGTAGTTATAGAGAGCAGACAGGAGTTTCTTTTCCAACTCATCCTGAGTGTGAACCAACATCCCAAAACTGCACACCTGTTAACCTCCTGAGTTAAACCTGAGTGCACCCAACCCCGCCTTCTCCCTCCCCTCCTCTGCTTCTCTTCAAACCTGCAGGAGCTTCTGAAGGTTCTGTAATATTACCAAAAGTGATCTTGGATGAATGAAATACACCCGGAGATTTTCCCGGCGTTTGCTAAGTTTTGGTTCGCTGAATAACCTCCCATTTCTCTCCCAGATTCCATCTAGTGATCCAGGGGCAGGTTGTCTCTGCTTTTGTCCAGCCTCCTCACATCCTGAGGGGTTGATGGCATCTTCAGAACCTCTCTGTAATAAATATTTTGTGAACTGCACTTATTGTGTTAACATACTCCGGTTCCTCCGCCAGGCTCCAAAGTAGGGACTCCAAAACTATTACATTGTTCCTGCGCTGGAGACGTTCCCAGTTGTTCCTCTCCCTAACAGTACCACTTTTCATTTTCACATAAGCCCAGAGTCCCTAGCTGCTGTGAACCTGTTCTGATCCTCCACACTTCCCGCCCCTCCCCGGGGTCTCCTCGCCCTATGTCAGTATAACCTCTTAGCAACCAACTTCATTCGCTATTACTTCCTCAGTTCGAAAGATCTTTCCTAACTTGTTCTAGTTTCATAACCAGCAAGGCCTCTAGTTTCATTTATTTACGTCCTTAGGAAAACTGTTCCCAGCGGCTTGCAGTCGTTGTCTTTATTTAACCTTGACTACAAGCCAAGGCAATAACAGCAACAGCCTTTCTATGCTATGACAGTTTGCAAAACATAATAAACACTGTAAGGGCCAGGCCTGTACCCTCCATACCTGACGTCCCCCTGC